CTGCTGTGCCAGTACTGTATTTTGCACCTTATTTCCTCTTCCTTTTTGTCATCACTGATACTGTTTCCATGGCAACCCAGCATGGCGTGATTTATTTGTTACATTTTTGTTGAATTGTGGAAAACATATTTATTCTTCTTGCTTTTTAAGGGCACTTAAAGTACCTTTGGCATGATGACAGTGTCTGGCTTAACTTAAATTTTTACAAGACAGCAGAAGTCCACTGACGGCATAGTACTACATTTCTTTTTGCTCATGCAGCATAGCAAGTATATGCTCCATTTTTTTTTATCAATGACATTCTTGACAGTTTGTAGCCAAGTTGTGTCTCAGCAGTAACTAGGTCACTCAGACAAATGTGTGTCAGCCCCACACTTAGATTTATTACACAACATTTAGCACAGATAACCCTACTGGGCACAGCTCACAGCCTCAGCTGAAGACTACGTGTTGCAGTATGATCGCCTGTTTGATGGCAGCCAATACAATCAGCTGACTGACTGACAGCCCAGGCAGTGGCAGGGCTCCTACTGAATTTTCTTTTTCTTGAGAGGCCTAACATTAGTCTAGACTTCTAGCTGAAGAAATCAGAGAGCACAGTGGTTGTTTTATTTTACATTAATGCATATTGATATAGAGACACTGCTGACCATGCACTCTCTTAATATGCATGAGCTCTTTGAAACGGACTAAACTTTCATTAGCATATGAGCTGTTACATTATATTGTTGGACCCGGTACTTTTCACCATACTAACTCTGAGAGACGAAGCAGTCCAAGTAACTTCAAAACAGTGCTGATTTATTCAATGAACACAGGTAAAATTAACATTACACGCTCAGGTATCTTTGCACCTCCAACCTGCACACAGGCAGCTGAAAGATGAAAGACCCTGAACCCACCAGGCCTATACATTTATCTCTTTGGTTGGGCTAGCCCCATACTACACAGAGAGAGGCCAAACCGTGATGTCTCCTGGTGCCAGCTTTGCAGCTGGTCATAGCAGTAGTCAAAACATGAAGTAAATTAATGTGTGATTGTCTGTTGATTAAGTGGTGTGTAGCTAAAAACATTCTAACACGACCTCTAGTGACATGTCATGACATTAAACATAAGAAAATATTATGGCTAAGGCTACAGTTATACATCTCATAATAATAATAATATTAAACACCCTGTCTGCTGACAGTCATCAACTTTCTATCTAGTTATCCTTGACCATAAACAACCTGCAGCAACTCATGAGAATGACTAAGCATTTAACAGCCTGAGCTAGACATCCTGTCTACTCTAAACATTTCTAATACATCAAGTATCTAACCAGTATCTAGCTGACTAAAAATACCTAACACTATGGAGATATCTACTTCAACCAGAGTCTTTTTGATACAGTTTTATGGCAGACATTATCAGGTATTCTAGCTAGCCTTAATTAGCTGACAGGAAACTTTAAATTGCAGTACAGAAATATCAAAGGCAGGTTTGAGGTTTTTCAAAGATGTTGTTGCCAGTACATAGTTTGAAGTATTTTTGAGCCTGAGACTGGTATCTGTATTTGAGAGTTACATAATTTTAACATTGTAATTAACCAATAGGGATTTGTTTTATTAACATAAATGCATAACAAAAACAAATGATCTTTATAAGGATGCCTTAGATTTGTTTATTAAAGAATTGGGACCAAGAAGCAAAACATTGTACTGCAATCTGGTGGACAAAGTATGTACACATTTACAAATTACATAAAATAAAATACATTTTGTGCTTAAAGGAGATTTAAAAAACAAAAAAGTGTCAGCACATATAATTTTAATGTGATATTAAGTCACAATATGCATATTGCTTTCAAAGACTTTGTTCCATTTAGTCTCTCTTTGAAAGCTTCTTCAGACTCAGTCAGGATGAGTGCTATTATCCCCCAAAAACACACACACACACACACACACACACACATCCCTTTCTACGTGGGTCTTGGGGACATTGCCTTATGCATGTGGTCCAATAGCGAGACAGAAGGATTTGTGGTACTTTAGGTATCTGGTTTGGGCCATCGATCACTGTAAGCTGATGCTTACATGACATTGTTGTCCTGCGGTGGTGCAGGCAGCTTCTCTTTTCTCTTACCTTCCTCTGCATCATCTCTATCACTTTGTTTGTTGCATGCCAGTTATTTGTGTTGCCTCCCCCCACTGCTGTACTCTCCTTATATCACTCTTGCCTCTGTAGTGTACCCCGATCTAATACCCCCCCCCCCTTTTTTTTTGCTCCTCAGGGTGCAGCAGATTATACTCCATCTTTCAACCTCTCTGCCTTCTTTTGTTCCCCTAGACCACACTGCCAGTACCCAGACTAATCCTGTCTTTGTTCAAGGCTCTCTCATTTACTCAGACCAGAATTGCACATTGCATCATAAGAAACTAAAGCATGAGTTAAAATACTCAACATTTTGACATTTTTGCTTTAGAAATATTTTACATTCAGAAGCCTACTCACCACTGATTGGATTAAGTCAATGGACGTTGCTGAGGCAAAAATTCATCCAGATGGTAATTAGCATGCTGTTATTTATAACCGTCTTAAAGAAAAGGTGTGCAGGGTGAAGCAGAGCTCTCATCTCTCTGGCCTTTGGGCCTTTCTCACTTCTCTTTTGGCTTCACCATGTAGTTCTGCTGTTAACCTCTAGGGAGCAGCATAACCAAACATAGTCTTCAGGCTCCTTAGTCTTCGTTGGGCAGGGGTTTAGACCACAAAGTGTGCATGATACTAGCAAGATTTACCCCTGTAGAAATGCAATATCTGGATTTTACTGTGTACACTGTAGGTCATACAAATAGCATACAATATTTGGTTGTCATTCAGTCATCCAGTTAAGTCAGCATGCAATGGAGCAGTGTGTGAAATACACTGCTAATTGTGTAGGTTCTTATCTTCTGTTGCCAGATAGTGTATTTATATAATTTATAATACCTGACCTATTTGTTTGTGCTTTCCCTTAATATTGACTTTTGTAAAAACAAATTCATGGGCCCAATTTATTAAATACAAGCATACATTCATGTATGGCTTAATGACATTATATACCTAAACACATTAAATAACTATTTACACAAATGGACTGTCACTTCCGTCACTGTAGCCCTTGAATCACACTAATTACAGAAGAATAAAGATGAAAGAAAGATCAGCCATGCTGAAAAGATTCATTGACTTTTTAGATATAAATTGAATTATGGAATAATCATTTATTACACCTCATTTGTACACCACAAACTGGTTGGAATTATCTGCATTGTGCAGTCTGGCCATGGAGACTGTGCTCTCTCTAGGAGAATCTGTTTAAAAAAAACTTTTAGTTATAGTCAAGCTCATACTTGCATACTGGAGTGACTGTGGTTTAGTGGGTAGAGCTGTCATCTCCCAACTGGAGGGTTGGAGGTTCGAATCACTGTGCCTGCAGTCCACAAGTGCCACAAGTGTCCTTGGGCAAAACACTGAACCCCCAAGTTGCCCCTGCTGGCTGTGAGTTGGCGCCGCAGATGGCTGCCTCGGTTCTGTACCGGAAACAGTGTGTAACATACTTGGCCAAATAAAGGTGATTGTATACTTTGAGTATGTCAGTGAAAGTGCTTAAATTAATTTTAATCAGCTGTTGATCAGGCTAGGGGAGCCAATGATCTCACGGACAGGAGAGTTTTGTTTTCAAAACTGAATAGATCAAAGACCCATCAAGCTATTTGATTAGCTTAGTCCTGCTCCCACATCCACTGCTGGGTAAGAAGGTTGTGTGAACTCACAACCTGTGAACTTGGGATCAGATGCCAAGATCCCTTCCAAAAATTAATAAAAGCCATCATGAAGTTCTCATGAGATCCAGGTTCATCATAGTGTCTGAGTATTTTTGTGTCAACATATAAAAAATTACATATAAACATTTTTGAAATGTTCTGAACTGACTGACCTTCATGTCTGAGTGGTGGTTCTTAGTACAACAGTCAAATGCAGTGCATACTGCTAACACTACCTTGGCACAATACAACTGTTGGTCTCAGAACGAGGCAAGAAATTCCACCAATGACCTTTTGACAATGCATGCCCATTAATTGAAATGTTTCAGGTGACCACCTAAAGAAGCTGATGAAGGTATATCCAATAGCTAACAAAGCTGTCATCAAGGCAAACAGTGGATATTTTGAGGAATTCAAAATATCAAACATATTTAGCTCTTTATTACTTACTACATTATTCCATATTCAGTTTAATTCAGTTTTATTTGTATAGCACCAAATCACAACAAAAGTCATCTGAGGACACTTTACAAAGTAAGTTCTAGACCTTACTGTTATTATAGAGGAAACATGTAACAAATTCCCCTTGAGCAAGCACTTGGCCACACGTGCTATTTCATAGTTTTGATTAAGCCAAAGCATGAAGAGACAGTACATGTCACAGTAATGTATTGGGTCTCAATTTTCTGTGTGACATTATGGCCAGATGCTATCTGTTTATACCTACTATAACACTCCCCACTGATTACTACTACTACTAGCTATTCTTACTCATGGAGTGCATATGAATCATTAGGGACAGACTGAATAGCTTGTTTTTTTTTTTTTTTAAGTCAATAACTCCACAAAGCTAGAAATCCTATAACCAGTCAAAATAATTCTCATTAGTTCTGATGAGCATCCTGGGGTCCCTGCAGATATAACATGGCTAAAACCTGCTTAAGGTCCAATAAAAACCTGATACTCAGACTGCACTGTATGTTACTGTATATCCAGGTGCCTGAGGCAGATGGAGGAGGATGGCCTGTCTGTGGACTATTTGTTCAGCCGATGTGTGTTTCAACAAGATGAGAGAGACATGGTGCTGAAGGCCATACGCATCGCCCAGCCAGACTACCAGCCCAGCCTCACCTTGACTATGAGCCAGAGCGCCCCATTGCTCATTCAAAACTTCTACACACAGGTATGGCTGGCTTTGACATGAACCAGGACTGCTAAAACAATACAGTAATGTTCTCTAAACCTTTTCAAATTTTTGTTGATTAGATTGTACATTGATTTTTTTTTTTTTTTAAAGAAACTTGATTAAAAATTATGTTATTTTAAAAGTATAGTGGTTTTAGAAAAAAAAAAATCAGCCCCCATCACTTTTTGGTGTAGCTTTAGTTTTAAATAGATAAAATTGCTATTTTTGCCATCAATTTATAGTCATTAATAATGTAACAAAGTGAGAACATGTTTTTAGAAAAGTTCTGAACAGTCTCTCTGTCCCTGCTGCTGAGAAACGCCTTCATAGCCTGATACCACCCATGCCGTGCTTCACTGTAGGGATGATGTCAGCCAGGTGATGGGCAGGTCCTGGAGTTTGCCAGACATTGCTTGGAGTTCTGGCCAAAGGATTTAGTTTTTGTCTCATTAGACCAAAGACTTTTTTCTTCGTGGTCTCAGACCTTTAAGTGTAAGATGGCGCTGACATCAATGGCAGCCTTGGTTACACGCGCTCTCTTGTGGTTGTTGTTCTTCTTTGTTTTCTCGGTCTTTTGCAACACATCCCGGATTACTTTTACCAGAGAAGAACTGTTAAATATTGGACAACTCACACCGAACTACCCTTCTTCGATTTTTGTGAACAAAGAGTGCTATATGGACATTCTGATCAGAGGCACAGCTGCAATCTACAGGATCTGGAAGAAACACCGGCGTGGCAAGGGTGTGGGCGCCTTAGTGAGGCTACACCAGAGAGGGACCCGGACTCCACTCCCGTCTTTCCACCTAGCAAATCTCTGCTCCCTGGTCAACAAAATGTATGAAATTCTTCTCGTCAACAGGACAAACTCTGACTTTGCACGCTCTGCTGCTTTATGCTTCACGGAGACCTGGCTCAGCGACTCCATCGCGAACAGCGCGATACAAGTACCAGGCTTCCAGGTGTACAGAGCAGATTGCGTAACGGAGCTG